GGGGGGGGGAGGGGATGAGAAATTGAGATTTGAAAAAGACAGAATTCGAGATGTGTTCTATTTGGGGAGAATTCGACGCGAGTTTTTTTACGTTTTGAATTTATTTTTCGAAGAATACTGCAGGTTGGCCCGTCGGGTTCCGGGAAAAGCACAATAATCAGATTGCTGTTCCGATTGTTCGACGTAACTGATGGGCGTATTCTTTTTGATGGCCAGGATGTACGTGATGTACAGATGAGATCATTGAGGAAGCATATTGGAATCGTTCCGCAGGATACTGTGCTTTTTAATGAAACTATTCGGTAGGGCCTTTTTTTTTACAAAAAAACGCATAAATACTGATGTGTTTCAGAGGCGGGCAGGTGGTCCGCGATTTTTCTGAATAATCGTTGCGTTTTTTAGCTTATACCGGAGGCGATTTCTTTAAATCAGCCATTCGTTTTTAGATAAATTGAGTTTAAATGCACGGATAGCCCATGACTCATGAAAACGTATAACTTGCAGATACAATATACGTTTCGGGAATCCATCAGCCGGCGAGGAAGAAATAAGAAATGCAGCACGAGCAGCTGAAATTCATCAACGCATCATATCGCTGCCGGATGGTAAGTTTTTTTTTTGTCATAGTATCTTAAATTAGTTTCAACAGTCGCATGAGCCAGTTACTGATCAAGAATGAGAGACAAGAGATGAACAAAGCGAATTATTGAGTAGCATTCACGAAATGTTAAAAGAACAAAGGGAAGGAGACCACTTATTGGAAAGATTCTCTTGAACGGTTACAGGACTTAGGCCTCTAAAATCATTCTGCAAGACCGTTGGAAAAAGATGGCGGAGGATCAAGCTACGGAATCTGGGGCTCTACCATCTTCTTCCTTAGAAAAAGATGGCGGAGGACCAAGTTACGAGAAGAAACGCAACGATGAAACAGTAGCTGATCAAAGTGTAAAATTGTGAAATTGGCTTTTGGTGGAACAAATTTTGTTCTTTAGGCTACGATACGATGGTTGGTGAGCGAGGATTGAAGCTGAGCGGTGGAGAAAAGCAGCGTGTGGCAATTGCTCGAACAGTCCTGAAGCAACCTCAGTTTATTTTACTGGATGAGGTATTATTACCGCAATTGCTTTTGCTATTCCAGTTGGCGAGTAAAGTTTATTTCCAAGAAGGCCCCTTATTTTCAAAATTTGTTTTTGAAAAGGCCTTTAGATTACAGTTCTTGCTTTGTTGCGACATAGTGTACATCATTTATCAATGAGTGATATTTACAATAAGGAAAGAGCCATTTGGACAATCGCCAAAAAACTGGCATCCGTAGTTCAACACAAAAGGGTTTAGCATAGTTGAGCACGCCGTACTGTTGCGTAGCAGTGATTCCATAAATATCGCACTTCCAGATCGATTATGCGGACGATCCTAGTAGTATACGTGTAAATTTATAAAAACATCACGGGGATTTGGTCAGTCAAGGAAAATATTTTGTTGTTTTGATCTTTTTAGGCAACTTCGGCATTGGATACAGCAACAGAAAGGGCAATCCAGAAATGTTTGACCTCGATCAGTGAAAGTCGTACAAGTGTTGTTGTGGCACATCGACTTTCAACAATTGTTAATGCAGACAAAATATTGGTACTTGACCATGGTAAAATTGTGGAAAGTGGAACGTATGTTTGATGTTTTTTAATAAATTTTGCAATATCCTAGGACAGATTTCGAACAGCTTCGAGGACTTTTCTCAGCTATGAAAATGCTGCTAGAGAGGAGAACAAACATGAAAAGGGATTAATTTGGAGACGTAAGTTGTTCTATTTCCTAAAGGCATCAGACGGAATTTTAAGGAAGACCGTCAAGAGCCATTACTTTTAGCGAAAAGTCTGTCTGAAAACACCAAAAATCTTGAGTTTAAAACACGTACACCCTGATCCTTTTAATCAGATTTAAATAAAATTAGGTAGTTATTTTCCACGAAGTTTTGCGGGTTGCTCTGTTTTCCAAAGGCGTCAGGCAGAATTTCAAGGAATGCCACCAAAAACGACTTCTGTTAGTGAAAAGTGTGTTTGAAAACACCAAAAATCTTGAGTTTAAAACACGTACACCCGGATCCTTTTAATCAGATTTAAATAAAATTAGGTAGTTATTTTTCCCGAAAGTTTGCTTGAAATTGAGGTTGTATTTTCAAAAGTAGCTGAAGGGATAGCAGTTTGCCAACAATGAAGCGTTAATGCTGTTAAGATTTGAACTGTTTCTTTTAAAACAAGAAAGGGGTCAAACCAGTTTGACTTTTTTGTACTCTACGACAAGCTAATGCTATTTTACCATCCAAGAAACATAGAGGGATTGGATTTCACGCAACTGTTGAATCGAACCTATAAGTGCCACTTGGCGCAGCATTAGCCCTATCAACTTCTTTTTGTTATTGTGTTATAAAATGATATTTTTTTTTTTTTTGATAGAACGGGTTAAGGGGAAAAAAACAGGCTCTGGCTAAAAAAAATTATGTGGCTCCCTTGGAGAAAATAAAATTTTTATTTTTCGAAAGTCCAGTTAAGAAGAAAAACAAACGTCATGAGAGAAAATGAAAAGTGTAAAACATAGAATCTAATTTATGCCTGTTTTATTTCTTTTGGCCTTCTGAAGCTGAAGTCAGCAAATTTTTCGGACTCTACTGTTGTCTCAGCTTCTCAAATTTTTCAGCAAAAAACGCTTTTTTTTGGAAATTAGTTTCTGAGAAAAAACTTCTTGCAGACACAATGAACTGCTGGAACTGCGCGGACGATACTGTGCTATGTGGGAGGCTCAGAGTGAGGAAGCACATTAATTCCAATCAAATAATGTGTATATGAATGATGTAATATGGAATTTCATTCTTGTATTTCTCGTCCTGTACTCCACAACTTTCATAGCCTCACATCAAAAGTTTTGAAGAAACACTCTCAGCTGAGAATACAGGTGATCTTTTGTATCGATGGTTACTTAAATCAACTTATAAACTCCAGAAAACGCTAAAAATCATTGAAACCTATCAAAATCCAAGCACTATGCAAAGTTTTAGCTACCCAGAACCTTTAAAACCACACATCAGCCTCTAACAAAACCTTCATTACATTAGCATTCGTTCAAGCTGTACTATACGCACCCTCCCCAAGTTGCAATTATTTGTTATCACGATTTCTGTCTGGCACCGGTTTTTCCGGCAGATGTTTCTAGCTAAAAGAATTGAGACTGGATGCCAGGACTATCACGAAGCATTCCTTTAAAACTTCATTTCGTAGCTTTCCTGGTTCGCGAATTAGCAACTTACCCGCCAAAAATTTTCACAGGCCTGTTCGTGGAGATCACCTCCACCTGGTATCTGGGTTTGGGCTCGTTAATTCCTGCGTGGACAGCAAACACCTTCTCAAAACTCCATGTTTCTAACTTCTCTGGTTCCCGAGTTAGTAACTTACTTGCAAAAAATTTTTACGGGCCCGTACATATTGAAGCACGCTTACCTGGGAGTGGGTTCGAACTCATTAAGTCCTACGTGGACGAGGAACATGTCTTTGAAATTTCAACCTTCCAGCTTTTCAGTTTCCCGAGTTAACAGCTTACCCGTCAGAAACTTTGACAGGCACGTACATGGGAACCACGCACACCTTGGGGCTGGGCTTGAACTCCTTAAGACACACTTGGGCAGGGGACATCCTTTTAAAATTTAAGCTTTTTAGCTTTTCAGGTCCCGAGTTAGTAATCTCCCTCCCAAGATTTTTGCATGCTCGTACGTGATTTTCGCCAAAACCTTCACGTGGCCGTACGCCAGGCTCCGACGTGCGTGAGGGTCGGTACCGCAATCTGGAGTGGCACTTGGTCAGTGAAAACATGACAAACTTACAGCATCAAAACTTGTGTGTTTGTCGAATAGAAATACCCGGACAGACAGACGAACACACACACACACACACACACACACACACACACACACACACACA